CGGCCAGTAAACAGAATAACGACGACAAGCCGTAGTTGGCGCTCTTGTCGGCAAACAATCGCCAGTTGACGTCTATTTCACTCAGGACGCTACGTGCGTCACAGTAAGGCAGAAATGTGTACAGTATTAGTAGTATTGGATAGGGTTGAGAGTGGCTAGTCAGTGAGGATTACTCATCGATGGAGTGAGATTGTCATGGAGGTGGCAACGCAGCGGCTACGTCAACTTGCAGAGCCCACTCGCTGCTCCTCCTGTTAGTGGTACTAGTAAATTCGCGCGGATCGACAACGCTGTATCGCTTATCATTATCAAGTCTTTACTCCCGTGCTCCTCTTCAAAAGGCAAATACAGCGACCCTGTCCTTTGCTCCACACCTATCCACAGCGTTTGAGTCATCTTTACTTCGATTTACGTTAGTTGGTACGGCCAGACAACAAACGACCGAATCAACTGAGCAATTCGATGTAGCGCGCGCCACTGTGCCCCGTGTGGGTGTCGCTACCATGTCCGCACGCCAGAATGGCAGCAATGTAAGCTGGCATGATCCATTGACCCTCTCCACGAATCTGTCGCTAAGGAAGCACCAGCGCCCGAGCGAGAAAAAAATACAATTTTTCGCCATTGCCGCCGGCACACTCACAGAAGTTGTTACTTTTTATGCGGGCCTACAACGATAACGTTGAGAATAGGGCGGCGGGGCTATGTTGAAGTATTACGATGTGGTCATTGTACCGTTGGTGATCTTAGGTCTGACTGCCTTGCGTATATATACGTTGGCGATAGAGGATGATGTTGTTCTGCACCATGACTGTACGTAGTAGACAGAGTATCTCTTAAGCGGTAAATTGCTATTTGTTTATGGCCAGCTCTCGACTGCAACCGTGTGCTTATCAAATTATCGGAAATGATGATTGTTGAGCTGCTTCGCTCGCGTCTATTGCTGGTGTTATGCTCTCTCCCACGAACCGTTTGTGTGACGATAGCTGCAGGTGACGAGCCGTTTTTTTCGATGATTGCAGCATTTAAATACAAACAATTACGTTAGTTAGTAAGTCGCTCGGTGGCTGGCTACTTTCGAACGTCGGCTTCTTCTCGCCTGACCTTAACGCCTTCAAGGAGAAGATGGTGTAAAAGAAAAGGAGGCCTCGAACGACTGAAATACCCATCCGATCTCGGCACCTTCTTCTCATGTACTAGTTGGTTCCGTTCCTGAACTGGAACAAACACTTAATAGATTTGCCACGTCTAATCAAAAGAGCTAACATGAAAATTGCTTACGATTTTTGCCCAATGCCACTGTAGTTGTTACGGTTACCGTAGAGACCGTTCCGGCACTTCATATGCGAACCAGCGGGTAACAGAAAGAAAACCGTGAGCCACTCCGCGCCTATCAGTGCCATTGCAGATCAGGCAAGTAAGTACTTCAGGTTCTATTAAATGCCTGGCTTTTCTGTCGCAAGGCATCTTGTTCTTTTTTGTTTGTTTGTTTGTTTGTTTGTTTGTTCCTAAACCACACAATAATTCTAGTAGTGTCTTCCATATCAGCAAACAGCAAAACTATGGATAATGAGTGGAACGCAATGGATTAATCGTTTTTCATTGACGACGCTTCTGAAGCTTTACTAAAACGTCTATCGTTGCCATTGTCGTAGGGCGTGGTGCGTTATCTGTCACGCAATGCCTATCATCGTGGCTGACGTGAGCTAAAGTGGTATTCAGGTACGTTATTGTTAGAGTTTTACATTCTAGTATTTTGCTTTGTAGCTGCTAGTTGCCACTGTGTTAGTATTACTGCTGCTAGTGCTATGAAAAGCAGCGGCCCCTACGTGGTGGAAGTGCTTTGTTTGTGTTAACAAATCATCAAACGACCCCTGCTAGAAATCATTGGTAAATCCAACATAGTAATGAGTGACAACGTTAGTATAGTTGAACTTTTCGTTTTTTCATCTAAGTAAATGCTAATTCGTCGTGTCTGTCCGCTAAAGACACGCACATGGTGCTGTTTATTTTCTACTTCTTTATTTCGTCTGGTCTTCTATCCGTCTGCTATCTCGTGTCTTAGCTAGATAGGCAGTATGTAGCCTCTCGCCACCGAGTTCTTTCTATGTTCTGGTCTGGCGGCTGAAAATCATCGGCTGCACACCCGAACGTATTTTTTCATTAAAAATCATCGACTGTAGTCATCATCATCATCGGCGGCGGCGGCAACGTTATTACCGTTCTTTAGCATCGCTTTGTGTTTCCAAACTTCGTCTTCGTCGCGCCTCTTTCGTCATAGATGCCTGCCGGATCGCTTTTTTGTCACTTGTTTTTGCTCTAGTGGCTGATCTGTTGTTTGCCTGTGGATACGATGAGCTGCGTCCTTCATTTCCTGGGCCGCTTGACAGCTCAGCATGAGTGTCGGTGATGGCGGCGTCGGCAGTGATGTTAATGATGATGTTACTCTGATGGTGATAGTGCCGAGCGTTTGTTCCTCGGTGTTCATCGCAGAAGCCATTTAGATAGTTGATGTTACAACAACAAACGAGCGTCATATCTGCGCCTGTTTAGTGCGAGCGAAGCTGTAGAGAAGACGGGCGAGTAGATTTAGATGCGGCCGCGAATTTGTGTGTTAGAAATCGGGCCGCCAAAATTTGGAAAAATTCACTTAGGGGGCCGCGTAGGAATACACACACATATGACCCTGTGTGTATTTGTTGCCTACAGTCTTTTAAGAGCAGAATAATATCGGCAGACATGGTAAGCCCACTCAAAAACTTCCTAGACGTTAGCCGTAGCTATGTCACTCAGCGTCTTTGTATGAACCTGACAAGTCAATGCCAATTTTTCATTTCATCTCGTGCGTAGGTTTGTCGCGTCTTAGCAGGCATGCACAGTAGATACTCGGGGCAGCTCTTGCTCGAATTTACATGGCAAGTTTCGCCTGGCAGGTCAATCCACGATATGCATTGTCCTTTGACATTTTACCGCTGGACACATAGTCGGTTTTCCTTGTCCTAGCTGACCTCTGTTTCCACCGTTTAAATTCTGTAGGTACTTATTTTAACCGACTACTTTAAACGGACTATAATATGTAGTAGACTGACGGACGCGCAAATATAAAACTATCTTTGAAATCTCACCTCTAATTGTGTTCGTATGAGTCATCATGAATAGAATTATCATGTACTGATAAGACCTGCAGTAGTCATCTTTACTTGTCAGGGTAATAATCGCAATAATATTAAGGACAAATTATCGATGCGTTGCTCTAACAAAGTCGTAATTGTCTTACATAAATTCGTCGATAAGTCGACTAAGTGTTATTGCTAGTGGAGTAAGCACGGGATCGGTATAGTAGAAGTATCGGGCTTATTTGTACGACTCTGGTGTACTAGAGTGGCAGTAGGTGTTGTAGCTTGATAAGACAGAGTAGGCTTTAGGTGCTAGCCGTTTCCCTTTAGTTTTAGTCCTTGTTAAATAGGGCCACCATCTTGCCTCCCAGTGCGATTGTTGCGGCCGCGTCGAGAAAGCCGCTTAGCGTGGGGGGGGGGGGGGGGGGGGGAGGGATGTGCCGATAGCGTCGACAACAATAGCTGGAGCGGCAGACAACAGGTGTAAGTTATACCGCACAAAACTAATTTTTCGCTGTGACATTGGCGGGCGCTTGTAGTCGGTTACTGCTGGACGTGTTTGCGTATCTGTGGGTAAGTTGCCAGGGAACGGCTGAGTGCATCGAATGTGGTAATGGAAGCAGCATTCCAGTATAAAGGCGAAATATAGAACAACAATCTAGTAGCGACCAAACTTGTTCACGAGCGACCTAACTATAAGAGTCCAGATAAAATTCAGCAGTCACAGCCGCTGCCGCTTACCGTAACAGACATGGCATAGACCGCAGCAACTGAATTCGAGGCAGCAGTAACAGCAGCACGGACTGAAACCACTCACTGTTCACACTGCTGCTACGAAGAAGATTGGGAACCTGTCAACGATACTGTTTCTAGAAACTAGAAGTAGGTACCTTATGGACGAGGTGCAGTCGGCTCAGCAGCGACGTCGATAGCACCATCAACAACAGCGGCCATAGTAGTCATTATTCAACTTGTGTTTTGCTAGTTCGCTGCGCGTCTGACAGACGTCGATGTAAGCAGCACGCAGTGAACTCTCAAGCTAGCGTGACATTCAATTTGGCTTTGTCGTTGTCTGTCGCGACCCTGACTTCTGCCTATCTACAGCCGCTCGATCGTTCGCTGTCTGTTGTGGGCCTGTCGATCGGCCTATTAGCAGCTCGCACCGATGTCAAATTTGTTGGGTTTCTGTTGGGTGGCAATGTACGGATTCCGTCAGAGGCCAATACCGCTCACTTGGTACTGCAACTGATCATCCTAACAACCAATTCAGCTGCTGCTTAGAACCACAACAACGGCAAAGATAACGACCGCTGCAATCGATGGGTGGCAAGGTTGCCTGGCAGTTGATAGCGGTGGTAACATTTTATTCAGCACTTTGCTGTCCTTCGCCCCTCTAAAACACGAATTGTCTGTTGACTATTGTAATATGTGGGAAGAAGTGGCTTTATTTCAGAGGTGCGTCTGTTCTGTGTGGTTACCTATAGTGGATCGCTAAGCAGAAAAGGCCTAGCAACCGCTCTCTTATGGTATCGGCCAGCAGAGTGTTTTGTGTTTGTGTATGTCATCAAGTGATATGGAATGTGTGAATTTCTGCGTTTCAACATACACCTGTGGATTTGCTATCGTGAGGTCAAATCGATGCCAATCGACAACTCCTACCGATAGACACAATGGATTGCATTGTACTGACCTGGAAGGATCTAGAAAAACGACATTAGACTGACCGCTTCTCTATCGACTCCACCGTCCCCGTCTCTCTGAGTTTTACGCCTCAATAGAGGTCGCCACTGTTCCTCTAACAGCGCTGTCATTTGCTGACGCGCCAAGAGCGGCAATTATAGGCTAAACCCAGTATAATCGTTCACATTTTTAGTATATTTAAAATATCTAAGTAAGTGGATTGCCTAGAATATTTAATAATAATAAATATCTTATTTTTGTTGAAACAACTCTTTCGTCCTCGATCTTTTGTATCGTCGTTTTCGCCCCATTTATTTATTTCTCGTATCTTCCTTTTCAAGTTCGTTGTTGTGTGGTCATGACCAATGGCAGCTAACGAACCAATGACAGCACACACAGAAAATCTGGTCCTCGCCATCTGTTATGTTTTCGGGGTGCTATTAAACCTGCGGCACCATCTAGCGAGGTCAATTGAAGGCAATGCTTTATCTGTGTCTGTGAACAGACACTGACTTTGACAAGGAATCAGTCGATCGGTCGGTCGGTCGGTCGGTCGGTCAGTGACGCTGCGGATGAGATGACGCTAGACGCGCCAGAAGCGATGTGTGGTAGGCGCGAGCCACTGCTAGCGTTACTGCATAAGCGGTAACAGTTATTCGTTGTAGCAGTTGCGAACGTTTAAGGTTGATACTGGTGGAATTAGGGAGAAAACGAAGTGTAAGGTCTCCTTTATGAAACTAGAAATCGCAGCTGCTTCTGGTACGACATTGGCTCTCTGAGTATTGACTGGCCGGAAGCTGCTATCGCTCACTCTAAGTCGTGGCCTGGATCAGGCACTTTACGCAGGTACAGACGAATAGCACCAAATGTCACGCAATCGGCCCTGCTGATCTCGCTTCCTTTGCACCCTACAGCTGCTCTGTTACAGTTACCTGCATGTTCTTTGTAGAAGTTATGTTGCCTTTGAGTGTCTATGCAGCGCCGGCCGTCTGCCGTGGCCAAGCAGCAAACAACCAACGGCTACACTGTAACTGCATCAAATTCAGAGTAGCAGAGATTTATCGGTAAATCCTGTGCTGTACACAAGCCACGTGAGGAATTGTTATTGCGCTGTTATTCTTTTATCACTATATAATGTCGGTTTGTATAATCAGGACAGCATCAGGAAGATGGATGTATGTGAAAGTGAAGGCGCAAACGGGATCTGCCTCGATCTTCCGCTCTGTCTCTCATTAGCATTCTCATTTTGTGGGCTATTATAGATTGCTATGAGACAGAAGATTAGAACTGTATGTAGAACAGCTACGCGAGACACGCATATCCAATGGATGAACTGCTACTTCAGAGACTCGGATGAAACAAACTAGTTCTACTAGCATCGCTCTGCATAGAAAAGCGCGTCTAGGCGCTAGGTCCGAGCAACGGAAGCGAGCCGCGATCAGCCTTGCTTGACTCTCTGACTCGGCAGTCAACTGTCGATGAAAAGAAGTGGCTCAATGCATTAAAATGAAGCGGACACATTTCGCTTAAAGAGGCGTGCAGGAACATCATGGTTCAGTGTTGTGTCACGAAACATAAAATCGAATTCATAATAAGACTAGATCCATTGTAAGTACAGAGACGCATAATTTCCTCTTCGGTAAAATATGTCAGGTGTATTGTACAATTGTGACAACTGGGTTTAATGTGGAACGAGCATTTCCAATTTTTTCGGTTGATTTTGGCTTACGGCTGACACGTGGATAATTTGTTGGATAGTTGATTAAATACGCTAAGGTGAAAAAATAAAATCTAAAAATAGTATTTAAAAAAATGTTATTATATTTTCGCTTTAGAATATAGGGACAAGGCTGTCGCGTTGCGATATATGGAGTGGTTTCAGAGCCAGCACACTATAATCATGACAACTTTTCCATACAACTTCTCCACAGCTGTGAAAACAGAGCTCAATATTTGAGATAATACCACCTTATCTTTTTGTATCCCAGATGTGGCACATCATTGCGCTAGCGGCCAGTCGACAGCGTCCTACTACTGCTTTATTTTTAGGTAGCACGCCGCCTTGCAAACTTTAGGAGAAAGCATGGATCTGATAATAACTTAGGTGAAAAGTTGTTTCAGCCATATATTTTTAACTGTATTGCTCTACACACCGTCCGTTCACATAACCATATTTAGTGGAAGCAAAGTAAACCGCTTGTGTAATTCCTATCGCGCTGGGGTACGACAATTATACGACACTGCTATAGACATGCGATAAGTGAGGGCTAATATATGACGCTTGTTTTTCTGCTAACTACATGGTTCGACCGTTATTCAGGTCATCAGGCTGCTGTTGGTCTTAGGAATATTTTCCTAAGACCTACTCTGACTACTACTAAAACTAATAAGTCCTACTCTGACTGATACCAAAACAAAGCATGCGGGAAAAGCATTGCTTCCGAAGAAAACTCAGTACGGGGGCACCTCGGATTGAGCAAAGCGCGGATGATTGAGCTGCTCGATTTTCGAGCGCAAAGGTTCATGGTTGACTGTGTAACGGAAAGCTATGATTGATGCAATTATTCAAAAATGAAGAACTCATTCTGAAGTAATATTTGAAATGGGATGAATTGTTTCAGATAAACATCGGTCGAGACAAATTCCATTTTTATGAAGAACATTATGCAAGCGTTAATTCTGTAACATTTTAAGCACTGGGTTCCGGGGTAGCTAGCTTGAAAGCAAAGTGTTATTCAAGCCCTTTTCTGCACACTGATCCATTATAGGTGCGATCAAAATTACGTGCTGTTTGTTATTATTGATGTAATTATTAACTGATGTATTTCAGTTGCCATATAACCTAGTTAATGATGCCGATTCAATACGAACCGATTCTGTACGGTCGGCAAAGGTAAATTCGTGTTTTCTTGAAGGGTCCTGAGTAAAATGCGTAGCACCGAGTGCCCGTGCACGCATCCAGCAATTTTCATCTTGTCCAGTATTCGAAATCTGTATCTGCTGTGCAAAACAGTTACGCATCAAGGCGACAAAATCTGGCATGGCAGGACTACCTACTGCTTCAGTCATTTGCGTACGGTCCTGAGGGCCATTCTTTATGGGTTGTGTGATTGTAAAGCTCACCGTCAATCATATCAAGCAGTGTGTCTGCTTTGCAGTTAAGTAAATGCATATAAGCTAGCTGTAAAACCGAATGAATGTGAGCAGTTTTCTCTGACTATTATCTTTGTTAAATTCGGCTTTATCAACAATAAAAGATGTAAAGTTAATAATCTTCATCATATTTTCAGTTTCTTCCGTGTGTCAAGACCGGTTATCTATGATATATATAACAAAAAAACGCCTAATTCTGTTACGACTTTTCACAACCTCTACGGCTGTAGCTTAGTCACCTGAGCGGTGCTGTGCACGCTAGAACGCTTTAGACACTGAGCTATTAGTTCCGCGTAACGCACTGATCAACGATGCGCTTTGGTCTGAAAGTGAAGCAAAAGTGAAGTTTAGCTTTCATAACTAGTGATGGGTGTTGCAACAAAATCGCCACCATCTTGCCTGATGAAGTTCTATAACATTTTTTCTTTCTAACCTGTTCCGCCTTTATTGTTCGTCTTTACAGGATGAGCCCTGCGATGTCGCCAAGGAGCCCTGTGACCACGTCGGTCGTCTGTTGTTGTTACCTCTCGCCCCCACCACGACACGTTTTCAAGCGTACCAATTCGTGGTACTCGCACGAGTATTCCGTGGCGACGGCTGCCTCATGTCTTCGCTAAACGGACCCCATTCGCTAGGTGGAGATCCTCTGTGCTGTGGAGCCAGCCAGGAGAAGCGGCCATTGTTGCGCGGCGAAACCCCGCAAAACTGTCCCACAAACAACGGCATCTCTCGTAGGGAGAAGAGCCCAGACGGCACCACGGCGATCATTCAAATACCTCTGCCCGCGCCGGAACGCGCGGAGCCAAGGTATAAGCCGGAGAAATGCAAAACGCTACTGGCGTGCATTTTTGCGGTGTTCTGCCTCCTGCTCAACCTGGTCGTGCTCGCGTTCATCCACGATCGCGTCCCGGATCGAACGAAAGTACCGCCTTTACCTGACATCTTCTTCGATCAGTTCCCCGTCGTTGATCAAGCGCTTGAGGTGTCCGAGATCATCATTATCGCCTCGGTATGGTCGTGCGTATTGCTAATCATTCTGCACCGATACCGGTGGATTGTCTTCCGCCGGATATGCGTAATAATGGGCGCCCTGTATGCGATGCGAGCGCTGACCATGTTTGTCACACAGGTGCCGATGGCGTCGAAAACATACTTCTGTTCGCCGAAATCGAATCACACGACGCTAGGTTTGATTGCGTCACGTGTCCTAACGTTGTTCTCCGGATTCGGCTTATCGATAAACGGTCATCATACGTACTGTGGTGACTACATCTTCTCGGGGCATACGCTCATTCTCACGTTGTGCTACCTCATTGTCAAAGAATATTCGCCTCAGCGTTGTCGAGTGTTGCATCTGCTTTATTTTTGCACATCGAGTATCGGGATCTTCTGCGTATTATTGGCGAGGGGTCACTACACGATCGACGTGGTTCTAGGTTACTATGTTACAACAAGGGTCTTCTGGATCTACCACGCCCTCTGCGCAGCCCAGCAGTCAAGCAAGGTAAGTAGCGGCCTCCGCGGAGGTGCGGCCAAATCAGTCAACAGCAACAACGACAAATCAGCGACGAATAATTGTCCAGCCCTTAAAGGGAGTTGTATCGATGTGTCGAGAATATTAGCTTGCACCGGCAAAAAGATGGACGATGAAGATGGGCCCAGAGCTAGCGACGAAGATTCGAGCCATAACGGGTCGCAGGGTCCGGACAGTCCGCAGTCGGCTGAGCAAACACTTCACGGATCGGGACGTGCGCGTGTCTACCAGCGGTACAGCAATCACGACGAGTCAAACGATTCTGTTGTATTAGAAAACAACATATCGGACCGGAATTGCAATCGTCCTCAGGCGACCGATGACAACGTCGAGGTAAAGTGTTTGTCACTTATGACCAGCATTGTTGTTACCCCGTCGTGACGGCTGTTGTCATGAGCCATCACTTAATCAACAGCATCATCTTTCCTTCCTTTTTCCTCTCGCCGTGTTGTGAATAGCCTCAGAAAACAAATCTGCCATCGGGAGCGTGTTCTATCCCTGCACCTACCTCTTTCGAGTAATATGTTCATACACTGGCCGACAATTTCGGCTTAATTGAATTGTTACGTTGCTGGTGCAGTTGTTACCTGCATCTAACGTTACTCGAGGTAGCTTATAGATAACTGTAAAGCGTTGTTGAATATCCTTGTCTATCGCATCTAGATAAAGATAGTATTCTCATCTTGCCGCCATCACTCAATGCAGCTATCCCCACCGTCTTCCGTCATATTATGTGCATTTCGATTTACTGATTTCTTGAAATTATTTGAAAGTCTGAGAGAGACTTTATTTAGGAAATGATTCTCACTTCGAAGCAATGCTAGATCATACGAGCATTAAACATGATTCAGTCAGGTCGACTTTCGTTTTTAGCGCGAAGTAACGAAAACGGCAGATAATCTTGACAAGCTAGTAGGCAGTATTCACGGTTTCGTTATACAGTACCGTTAAACCAATACAGTTAAAACAGTACCGGCGCGAACACAGTTTTTAGAGGATATAGTTACTAGGCACAAATTTGTGTATGTCAGGCATGCAGGCACAGCTCCCCGAAGTACGCCCTAATGTGCTAACCTCTCCATAGTTTCTTGGCCCTTTACCTCTAAATCTTCCTACTCTATATAGATTGTTCACTCAGCATTAAAGCAAATCAAGGCTTAAAAAGTCTCCTTATAAATTTTCGATTCACAACATTTGCAATACTGAGGCTCAACTTCTTACAACTTATGATTATGCCTTGATTGATTTTTCAAAATGATTTAAAAATAATGTGTTTCCTTTTCGTTTAATAGTATTTTCCTTAGCTTTAAGTCAGTGACGAAGGCCAATACTTTAGTTTAGTGGGAAAGCTATCTGCGGTAGAACTTATGAAGCCTTCAACGGTTGGGACTGCCAAATACGTAAATAGAAATTTGGCTTAGGACTTGCGTATACGTTGCTTTTTGTATAGAGAGAGACGAGTTGGTTAATGTTCCCTAGAATAGCTACGCGTCGTTGTAACGACAGAAACCATTTACGGAAATCACGACGTACTGCAGGACGAATCTTACACTACATCAATTTGCGTATTTTACATATCCGTTTATAACGAATGCAAGGTCGTCTAAGACTACGTTGCCGAACGAACTCTCAGTTGGCGTTTAGAAGGCACCTAACGGGTACTTTTCACATCAGCGGTGAAGGACACCCCGACGTTGGTCTAGGATGACCAAATAATTTAGAAATAACGTATCTAAAGTTTTGTTCTTGCGTTTGCCAAACATGTTCGTTTTAGTTGATACAACATCGGCGTTAAACCCGATTGGAAACATGGCGTATTCGGTACAAGATGTTGCCTTTATGATGAAGCAATTTAAAGTTCTTTGGGCTTATTAAATGAAGACGCTTTTCGAAAATTTGTTTGGATCTTTAAAATCTTCATGTATTGCATGCATGATTCTCCTCTTACGTTAAGCACAGAGGCACACTTTCACGAAGCTATGTTATAAGTATGCTGTAATTTAATGCACTTAACGTAAGTAACATTTATTTCCGCTATCACCTCTAAATTTTTATAAGTCTTCCAGGTTATCTGGAAACGAGGTCACAAGGCACGTTGTCTCATTTCCAACATGACCTTGGCGGTCCTTACGTAATAGCAAAACGAGTGTTAAACAAGCATATTCTAGTTGATCCTAATTATACACTTTACGTATATATGTAGTTTAGACAAATTTCAATTGTTCACTAGTGCGTCTGAGTTAAAATCGTATGTGATCAGTGTTGTGCAGAATGGACCACTTTCAAGCGGAACGATAATTGATCTACGTATAGCTATCGGTAGCGTGAGCTGATTTTGCTTCTCACACGCGATGAGGTAGACCCTATAGGAACAAACAAATGACCTTCCGTTGAATTGGCATCCTTGTTATTGGGTTGCGGCAAAATGGAAAGGGATTAAATGGAGTAAAAATGGCGATTATCAGAGGTGAAAATTGTATTCAATCACACCTAAGCCTAACTGGACACGCTGTACGGTTATATTACGCCAGAGGTTTCCTCGTAGACCAGCCATTTTCAAACGCAACCTTATATTTGAATTGGCTGGCATCAAAACTACCTTTTAATGAGTATCGAGATGAAATAATTCGAAAAACCCTCAACTTTACTTAGTTGCTTTTTGAACACTTATAGTTAAGACTATGTAAGTTGTTTCTAGCTGTTCTTTACGGGGTCAGACTTACCGACGCTAAGGCAACGACTGCCAACCATTTGAGAAATATTGACCTACTTATAGACGGTCAAGAATACCTCTCATTTACATTTAGATATATAACCACGCTACACGAAGTGCCTAGATATACAATTGTCAAGCCACGCACATACGTTAACCCGAGCCCGCTATTAGTGAATTTTAAGCAAGAAGCTATGCGTGATAGAAAAAATTGTCCTGAAAATTGTACACATTGAGCAGGTGCTATCCGCGTGCATTCGGTTGGTGTATAACCATAGACATTCGTTGTATAACCAAACGAATATTTCGATACTCCGGCGCAGACGACGATAGGTTTCAAACGTTCCGAATGACCTACGTCATTCTCTTAGTGGCCATCTTAATTGTGATTTTCTTCTATAGAGCTCATTGTTATCGGTGTGGTAGGTTGCGGTTCGTGCAGGCGAGGATGACGTTTATAATAAGTAATATTTAGTTTGGTATCCATGAACTAGTGAAGTGATGGAATTTTCGCAGTGAGTTCTCTCATGGGAATAGCCCCGGGGAACGTTTCGGGTGGAGTCCGGACAGGGTGGAGCTCGGTCTGATAGCCCAGCCGGGTTTATCCGGGTTGCGTGCAACGTGTTTCTGTGTTGAAAGGTCGTACTATCCTAAATTACTTTTCCTAAACACAGCCACCACGCTGGCTATTTAGAACTCAGCTGCTTAAGTTTTGTACGTTGCCTCGTACGTATGTCGGTAAATAGTACCATGGTTCTTCAAGAGATTTCTAATCACCAGTTCGTCAAGGACAGTGTATCCGACGAAAAGGTTTAATAAAGTGGCTATCTGTACTTGGGCAGCAGCGCTATACTGTTACCCGTTATTTGCTAACACAATGTGTTTATGTGTGTTCTGACATGATCTGACAATTTAGAATGCGCCTGTTTAACAATAGTCCGGTTAACACTACTACTCTTATTAATTGCTACTTCTATGCAATATGAATATTAGCGTTTGTTTTGGGAGATCGCCCGAGTGCTCTAGTGGATAGCAGATTAAGTTCATTGGCACTGGTGATTTCAATTTTCACAGGTCACTTATTGTGTTGGAATCGTCTCTGTATAAAATATACGCTTTCGTATGCAACTTTCTTACTAGACACGCCATGTTTTTTGACACATAGACCACAGTGACCTGTTTTAGCGAAATCGAAGAGACATGGCAAGCTGATTTGTCGCAAAGGGCCTCCGTTCTCTCAGAATATTCCCGTATACCTGTCTGCGTTGAGCTAGCGGATACAACTCACTAACATAATGCTAATGTTTGCTTTTCCGGTCAATCGGCGCGGACTTTTGTTTCCTGTGACGTCTTTTCGTCTACATCGTGCGAACCACGGGCAACAAAACAACGACGACGACGACGACGACGACGACGGCGACGGCAACAACTACGACGACAACCTTCATTGTACGGCCAACATACTGAATCATATTATCATTACCTTGTTTTAAATTCGTTAAAACAGGCGCATCTAGCCTCGCAAAGCGCCCTCAGCTACCTAAGTCGGGTTTGGTGGTTCCGGATATTCCGTTACTGCGAAGGCAACGTGACAGGCCCGGTCCCGCGGCAATACGAGTGGCCTCTCCCATGGCCCAGGCGTTGGTTGCCCCGTACGCGGATCTCCTAGCAGGGAGGCCTCCGTCGCAAACCCCGCAGGGGGAGACCTGTCGCTGCAGCGTGACCTGCACGGCATTGTCACCACTGACCCGATGCAGATGATTATCACCAAAAGTCCAATTGCTACAATCGTCCTCGATCACTATCAGCAGCCAGATACACATGGGGAATCTGTTCACAGTAGGAACAGTGTCGAGCTGGGCAGCGGAAGCTGCCATTGCAGTGGCAGTACCACACTTGTGTTTGACGCGATAGCCAACAGCGTGCCTAAAATGCGAAGATGTAGCGACTGCGATAACGCTGATAGTACTAGCACTACTTCTAGAATAGGCAACAAGGAACAGGTGGACGTCCACAATGTCTATTCCAAGCTGCCGGCCAGCTATGCAGTAGCGTGTCCCGCAGTGTCAACAATAACACCGATCCCGATACCTCAACCACAAAACACACACAAACATAGACGGCGAAGAAAGGGCTATTACAAGGTGGTTAAAGCGGTGACGCTTATAGAGGTCGACAATGATTCGACATGCAGGATGAAGCAGGTGGCAAAAGAACAAAAACAATCACAGTTATTATTGCAATACAAACAACAGGCAAAAGATGAAAATTACAGATGGACTGCAAAACGATTCCAGAATTTATTAGAGGAAACGAGGCTGTAAGCGAACAGGATCCAAGTTAGACAGGGGGGTACTGAACTGCTGGCCGGTGGTGCCTTTGTTGTTGTTTATGAAATAGCCGACGGCGGGCTCGCGCTGGAAGCTTCTCGCCGTACAATTTGACGCGATTTCATTTTCGCAGAGGTGATAACAGCAGCGTTGACTGATAAGACTTGATGGCAGACAAATGAGCAATAGCAGAAGATAAACAATTGTACAATGACTAACTGTACGACAGAGAGAATGTGTATTGAAATCACGAAGCGAGGTGTATGTAATATAATAGCGGTAAGCGTAGAGCTATTTTGACTAATTCTCAACGACGCGCTCCGATACAACAATCCGACGATCGGTGACATCGCCACAGAGCTCGAGAGTGGCATCCTTAACGAACAACGCCGACAATGCTGTTAACTATTACGCTGACTACTCGTGGCTAGTATGCGCGCTTCAGGATAAAATTACGACAGCCAATATTAATTCTATATATATATATATGGATAACGCATGAGAGGAAGCAAGCTGATGGTCTTCGTGCAACATCAAATGTATCAAAATTTCTTCCTTCCCTCAAAGAAAGATTAGTGAAGACTGACGAAAAGGTGATGTACGTTGAGCTATAGTGGCAACTGTATTGACAGTTATAGAAACGTTGAATAACGACAATGGACGAAGTGGTCTTATCTGTGGCACAGTCTATTATTTTTTCCATTAAGTAAGGAGAAAAACTAGGCACTAATAAATGTTACTTACTATTATTAATATCATATTAATAACCATGTCTGCCAGCAGAGTGTCAAAGTAGATAATGAACGACAAAAAAAAAAGCTGTACAACAAATACCAATTGAACGCTATTGCATTGAGGACAGCGGCTGCAACTATCAAAATGGTAGTAACAAGGATTCTTCCTATGAATGCAATACATTTGCATCTTGAATAAGAACTCTTCTCTAAATACGTGTAATAATATTTAAACGCCACGAATATATGTACATGCTTATTAATTATGAGTATAGGAACAATGAACGGACTGTAATGGAAATTTCTGGCGTTCGTTAGGAAAACGGAGGTAGCAGCGAATTGACAATGTGGCGATTAGTAAAGTAAAATGTAAAAAAATATCTGTAAATGATGCAAAGAAGCAATGATGAACGTTCGATCGAGACGATACCGAAGAAAACCGCGAAGAAGCATATGTAGTAGTTAGTGGCGATCGACAGGGGCGCTTTGATCGTGGCTCGATAGTCTGGCGAAAAGCTATTAAGGTGAGAGCTAGCCCGAAGCCTTCGCATGCTGCTTGTTCTTCACTGGCTACTGTCGATATGTAACGGTCTCTTGACAGCACTGCTGATTCAAATTTTTGTAGGAATTTCCGGTGAAATTGTCAGGCCCAAAGAGGTCAACGATATTCAAGTGTACCAAGGACCGAGGACCAAACACCAAACAGTCTAGAAATTCCTACGTAAGGTTTAAAAGCAGCCTAAGAAAAAAACCTTTCTGTTCGAGCGAAGATTTCATCCACATCAACTTGCCTGAAAAGAGAGAACGAAACTTCTTCGGATTAGCAGTTTCAGCGGCCGACAAGTCGCTGTAGCTTTGACGTTTCGCTAGATGTGCGTGTTCATGGAGATGGTCCGCTCTGCTGAGATGCGGTTAATCTGTTTTTCGCTGCCCTTACTACACAATGAAAGGATGAACTGCTTTGTTGGTTGATACTGTATTTTTGAAGAGGTGAAGATAAACGGTGATTGACTGACACAGCGGTGCGTTACCTGAGGGGATACTATGTGCTTTTTGGGTATGGCATGAAATCATAGAATACACATAAAGAAAACAGACAACGCAAGGATGAGATTAGCGAAGTGCAGAGAGGGCTTGGTCTGGTGTAGACATAACTGTACAAAAAAAACGTGTTGGAAATAATAAAATTCAAGGAAAGATTTCTTTTCGAAAAAGCCATATATAGGTACGTAAGACTCTAAACGATGAGAATTTACGGACACTTCTTCACATAACTTAAATGAACATTGCTTAGACGTGATGCGTCTTACGTGAGTATAGTAATAGACGGTAATAAAAGGATGAAATATTTTGACGACAGCAATTTCATGTTAAAATCGCTGGGAAATTGCATCAATCAGGTGAAGGCACGCAACTTATTATTGGCTTTATAAGTTCATGGGTGATACACCTAAATTTTCGTGTACGTTCATAACTTCGTACGGAACAGGATTTAAGTTTAAGAGTAGTGCATCTGTCCTCCAGTAGACCGTGTAAAACTTAATCTTTTAATGTGCCAAAAGATACATTTTTAACCTATTTGGTGAGACAACATTAAACGAAAATTACTGACTCTAAAGTCTGCGTAGAAACCCCATTTTGGCGGAACGCCTTCCTGTCGCCGAAGCGAAATAATAGAATGTGTAGCTGTTTGTGCTACTAATATATTGCCAACCCTCATTTTTATATGCTCATTGCACGTAGGAATGACAAAGCATTGTTGTCTGGTAACACCCTGTCCTGCGGCTAACTGCCAGCGAAATCAGATCGTTTCTAAGGTTAAATATAATTATGATAGAGACTAGTAATGGATTGTAATGCTGTTACACTGTGTACGGACGAATGAATGATCAAAGCCAAGAGTGTACATACGCCACTGTATAAGTTCAAATCGTTTGTAAGAGCTCACCTGAATTTGGATTACGACCAATGCGATCATACATAGCCACATCAACGAAAAACTGCGAAGACCTTGTCCCCCTTCTTGAGTTGCGAGTTGACTCTATTTTAGCTAAGACCCTATGTAATAACTGACAATTATATTCAAGGAAAATATTACATCACTTTAAAAAATTAGAATTCACGCATATACATATAACGTTACCAGACCCTCGCGTTTACCCTTGAATAGTCATCTATACAAGCACATACAGATATACCCTGTATAAATTATGTCTAGAAAATGTTTCATTAGCTATGAAAAGAAAGCGAGAAAGATTCAGTGCGTGGGAAAAATACCTGATCATAATAAATTAGATGAAAATCGTCATTTCGAACATTTGCTGTATTGATTTTATTTTTTTTTTTTAGCAAATTGGTCGGCTTTTGGCTTGCGCTACGACAACATTGGTTGTTTTTTTTGACAATACAAAAATTACACTAATGTTAGAGTGAGAAAATAATACATTTTTCTGTTTTTGATCAGATATCAAGCTCTTTATTTGTTATAAAGGCTGTCGTCATCGGCATTTCATATTGAGCTCAAATTTTAGAGACAAAAAAGCGCTTTCCACGTTACTTCGTCCTATTTTGTCTACATCAAAAAGCTGCCGGAACAACTCCCATTGAGGTGCTGCGTGTACCGCAAAAACCCTATAGCCGGGAGTGCCAACATGATATGATTAGGTAAGTCGAAAGGCACATTTTACTCAACTTTTCAACTCCGACAGGATTGTCTTGAGCGGCTTTTAAACTAGAAGAGCCTATATTTCTATATGATAGGGTCTTAATCGTGCCCAGACTTTGTTGCTTGTGCAATCTTTTGCGTGAATAGAAAGTCGGCGTCAAAAATTCGTTTGTTCTGCACTCAGCATATAACAATTTTCCTAATAGCAAACTATACATATAATAAGAGGCAAAAGACTGTTACAATGTGAAATAAGACCGATGTTCTATTTTGTATATGGACTAGCGGACCACTTAAGGGCTCAAGGACAACAGGGAATCCTTAAAAGAGAAGGGTTCCCATATTATATTCTTTCGTACGTAAAGCTTTTGCGCAGTATGTCAATATTGCATTGCGGAGAGTTATACCTATTTCAACCAAAATACATATGTGTGTTAAACCGTTCTATCGTAACACTACATTTAGAAAACCTGGCCTGAAGCCTCGTGTTGTTTTACGAAAATTCTTAGGTTTCCCATTCTTGTCTAGGATTTTTCATGAAGGTAGCTGTAAGTATTGAAAACCTAAAAGTAGTCTGTTGGACCAAAAAAAGTCGACGAGCATGTATCCCTAATAAATTACTATTTAAATTGAGCACATTAGCTGGCTCTGGCCGGTGGTATCATGGCGCACTTCTGTCCAGCAATCATTATATTACATTACTTACCGTATCATATATTTGACTAGCCTAAATTTTATTTAGGTTTCGTCGGAATTTTTTCGTACTGACTCTATTTCGCCGTTGATGGACAAGAATGCCCTACCTACAGAGATGCAAGCTCTACCAGACTACGGAGCATGAGAGAACTACTACATGAAGAAGTGATGCTATGACAGAGTTAACGAAGAAATAAACAACGCTCGTCAACTTGGCGTTCGCTTAGAGTCTGATCAATGCGAAGTTGAATTTCATATGAATGAAATTATGTTAACACATTGTTAGAAACAGGCTGTCTTCGATTCCGTGCTGCGGAATATATTTAGCCAAATGTCTAGTGAATATAGGTAATATTCGTGTGTGCAGCATTCTGTAACATGGACATTAGGAACTACACTGGATGCAAACGTTTTTCTTGTTTTTTTTTTTCTATTTGTTTTAGCTTCTGTAGCTGTAGTTTTATTCGCGCAAAGGAAACTAAGAGTTAAGTTCTGTGGAAACTATATATAGGGGGCGGTTTGCATTACCAGAAAAAATATATCATGGTGGACCGTTTGCAGTGGCCAAACATTGGGCGAGAAAGTTTGGTCGAACCGTAATGAAAAACAAAAGCTTTGAACTAGTGGTACTACTTTGTATTATAATGAATCGCGTTTTGGCTCCCTTAAAGTTATAAAGTCGAATATCAGAACTTATCAGCTGATAAAAAATGCTTGAGCGCTTGCAACTTGGGAAAGCTTACCTGCAGCTTCTTAGATCTGCTCTTCCACTTATTAAGTGAGTTAAGTATTGTTATAATGTTCTTGGGCCCTTACTATAAACGTGTGTGCGAATCACTCTGTGTCAAATGTGGCTCTGAACGCTTTTATTCTAAAGCACACTAGGATATACCATTTCGATACATGAGTAAGCCATTTATTCTATTGCCTTCAGTATATAACACACGTGCGAATAACACATGCTAGATCTCTTTATAACGAGTGCATTATCATCAGTATCAGATAGATACACAGAGACAGTCCAGTCTGTGTGGCTCTACCGTAACAGAAAATGATAGTGATAGCTGTTTGATCTATGTATACGAGTACACACTTTACCGTGGGGCACGGAAACAAGTGAGTTGAAACCAGCCTAAAAAGCGATTCTGAAAACGTCAAACACCGTACACATTTGCCAAAAACAAGAAGAAGGTAACATTGCAAAATGCCAACAGAAGTCGATCAGAAGATACCATATTTGGTGAAGGACGCTCACAGTGGTAAATCAGACTTTGCATATCTCAAAATTGTACTTTAATCAAATGTAAGCAGTAAGCCAATTGGATAACAGATATTAAATTTAGAAAACTTTACCCGCAAAATAAAATCTATTAACAAAAATTACACGAAATTGTGAAATGTTTTCTCGGTGATTCCGCTGAGAAAACAATTAACCGACATCAAAATATGCTTGGTCTTATCTTAGACAACACGATACGAGAATCGTAGACGATAAACAACTTTATTGCGTTTTTCTCTCTACTATCGTGTACCAACATGGCTGTCTAGGTGCACTCGGATATTAAGCAGTGGTAGGCATGCATACCCATGTAGCACCAATAAGCGGCTAGGACAAAATGGTTGTCGATGTTATGAAAAGACGCTTGGCTGGCTGTCATCTATTCGTATAGGAGCAATCTATTTAGTACAAATATGAGAAAGCTAAGGTAGTATTGCAATTTTTCGGTATTGTCTGAGCCATCAATACGTCATTGTTAGTTTGAAACTTTCAAACTTATAGGACACAGATACCCATACGCGAACCGAACGAGTTGTGCCCTGCACTGTGAGATAACCAGGTATGCGCGCGATGCGATATCACTGCAAAAAAATATTCGTATATAGTTAAGAGTTTAATGTGTTTCGATGAACGATTAGGGACATAAAGGGCTAATAACAGTCACGGTCGCTAACAGCATATTATAGTGGATACTAACTACAACGTATTTATAACATTTCTGTACAGCCTATGTGTATATGTGTGTGTACGTGTATATATATATATATGTCAGTTAGGAATGTCAACGAGAGAGCTCTGTCATGATTCTAGGGCAAAGATACTAGCCGTTTTAATAATATTAATATATAATAGTAATGGTAACGATTGTAACTGATGCATATTGTGAACATGTGAGCCGATATGTCGAAGAAACTGCTCGAAACTACGTAAATCTTATGACATTATATATTTGTCAGGGAACTTGTAGAAACGAAAATATTGATAAAATGTAACTTATATTTGTCGTAAAGTAGACGTATACCACTCAAGACATGGGTGGAAAACTGGATTAGCCTTTTTTGTAGAATGGGTTTCCCGTAATAGAAACGACACACGCGAACAATATACGAGAACAGGAACCATCTGCTACCATTTATCGTTAAGGAATACCGCTGAGGTAATGTATTCAGGTGATAAAGGCCATTTACTTTTAAAAATTCGGAAATTTCTCCTGTGGTATTCAATGGTAAAGATGGGCATTCAGTTACTTTTTCTATTGTCATTTTTCTGGCTCTGACGTGTGAAATATATTGGCATAGGATTGGTTAAATTTATTAACAAAGTATTACTCATACAAACTGTGAAATTCTAAAAATTCAAAGTTCCAATGACCAAAGTTTCACAATAAATTCTGTCAAATACGGGCTAAACAGCATCTGTTCTATTTTGAATGCCAGCACGGATTACTATGCCTGATTGATTCTAAGTATCAGGGAAAAATAAGGCAGCTACAAAATGATATCTGTGTCTATTTGTGCGCTTGAGGGAAACAAATGGATATGACATTTGTTCAAATAATATAAATGAGTAATGCTTGCGACTATACGTGATATATATCCATATAGCTATGAGGACCGACATTCTATCCTGGCAGCAGTGTGACTAAGTATATATCTACACATGAACATGCTCCGAATATTAATTTCTCTCTAACGATTGATATTGTTGAATTAAACTTATTATTTATTATAACGAAACATTTGTCAAAACAGCTATAAAAAAAAATAACTATATAATAATAATATAGAATAAAGAGGACTATAAAAAGAACTCATGAAGTCTGTTCATTGTCTATAGCAGGAAATAATTGCGCACTTACTGCCATTTTCAGTTAGTCAAAAAGCCAACGGTGCTTGTAGTTTGACAATTCGATCGATCGATCAACTGGTTTTGTAAATTTACCGTAATTAGGCAATCAAGCTATCATGAAAAGGTAGTTGTGCAGTTTAGAGTATAGGCGTATTTTTGGCACATATATACACAAGCATGTAAAAATATAATAACTTGAGTAGTTCAGGCAGAGTTATCGATGTGTAGTACCTAATGCAATCTTTTTTGATTAGCAAACTGCATAAACTACCACTACAAAGCCCTAGCAAAGGAGACAACAACCAGAAGGTAGAATCATTGACCAGCTTGAAAAAAATCAGGAGCGTCATTGGAGATAGGTTAGCAAGTAGCGTCGGTCGATATCGTAACAAAGTTTTGATTACATTTGTCAAATTTATAAACATTGGTCGCACCCCCCTTACTTTGTTTGAACCTTCGGCTTTTCCTTAATCGGCATGTCGTACTGAGCGGTTGTCATATACCATTCTCAGCAGCTTTGTGTTATTAGGAACGTGTGCTAGTGGAAAAATACTTAAATTCTATCCTCAATTTACCTCCGCGCTCTGGCTCATAAGTTCATTGCATAAATGCGGTCTCTCAAAATCACTTCATGAAGTCTTTTCCTTATGTATGTTTGTCAAAAGCCGTAGAATTTTGCTGTTGTTCTATAGCAGTAGACAGGAATCGCTGCTTCGCGTTCGCACGCGTGCAGATTAATTGGTAACCTGTCAACAGTCAATGTCGGCCCGAACTGTTTTGACTTTGTCGTGCACTCTAAGCTGCACGATTCATGCACGAAACGTGAAGTGATGGCAAGTCAATCCGAGTTGAAAACCAATTTCAGAATCTTCACGAACACGACGGGGTATTGTCATGTGAGCTGCTGGCCCTGTGTGCTCGACAGAAAACAACCACATCTAGAAAGAGAGAGAGATTCAATACGGCTTGGCAGTTGCATTTCTGATGCTTATGAAATACTACAAGCGTGTGAAACCCACCCTATTTATAATAATATATTGCACATACAGAGAGCATATGGTAAATGTGAAATATTCACCACAATGCCGTAGAGAGTGGTATTAAATAATCGGCTTCGAACTAATATTTACGATTGAACTCTTTCACCCTCGAATGAAAGAGGGCCGAAAAGTGTGGGCAAACTTGGAAATAGAGATCGTTCAGTCCATTTTACGAAGTGATTGTCAATATTTTCCAACAAAGAACCTCATGGATGGTAATTGTCGTGCCACTTCCAAGAGCTAACGTTACCTACGGTTATGCTTTAATAATCACTAGCGAAAATAAATCTCTGCGTCATCGCAATTAAAAGCCTTTTTTTCATCATTGGTAACTTTGAGTGAGTTTAAGTAAACAGTAGTTACGTGACCGATAGAGCATATTCTATGGCGACAATTGTTGCAAGTCAGGACAGAGATAATTAGGTCAAAGGCTAACTCTAGATGTAACTTTTTAAATAGTTAATAAAAAAAAAGTGTTCGTTACTAGTGTTTTGACACGCAGTTGACATATTCCATCAGAATTTTTCTATCTTTGAATCTATCTAAAACTAGTCCCCGATCAAGCTAATCAACTCAAAAGGGCCGGAAACGACACGGGAACCTCGACTGTAACTAGACAATAAAAACTATCAATGACAATGGATATATATGGAGAAACAAGGATAGGTAATATTTACGAATGTCGATAAAGGTGTGCTTTAAAAGATAAATAAACAAGGATAAGAGAATTACTTACCGTAATGTTTACGAACGCCCAGCTGAAGCCACCGAACGGTAACACACTTGCCACTTTCTGGATAAATGTGTATCTTAGAAAGAGGAAAATATATATCTATTTATATAAATTTTCGATTATATAACAGGATTACGTTAAACTTACCAGCTAAATACATGCTTGGTAATAATTGTCTGCAAATAGTCTAACGAGAAGGTATACGTTAAAGGATCGAATCACAGTATTGATATTTTACACTATCAAAATAACTTACCACTTAGCAAACAAACAGTAGGGCTTGAATAAAAGCAATTAATTGATTAGTTTTTGGTTTTACTCTGTAAATCTGTCAGAGCTTGACCTCTAAACCAATCCGCTCAATTGGATTTCAAGGTAAATAAATTACTGCTAAATAAGAACGCGCTTAGCATTTGTATATAATACATGTTAAAAAGGGCTTGGCTATAGAACTATTACTTTATATGGCCATTGTGACGACAAGCGGATAAATAGCAAGTAATGCTAGTCGTGGACTCGTGTTTTGGCCTATAGTTTGTGGAACATCAAGTAAAGGCGTCTGTAAAAAGCCACATTAAACTATATTGGTCAGAAATCATATTTGCATTAAAAGTGGTCCGGGTTTCAATAAAATGAAGATACAAACTCCTGGATATAAGCCGCGCAGGCAAGAAGCTAAGACGCAAATGAGATGTAACAGTTCTAGATTATCAGCTCTGACAAGATAATCGCTAAGCTCTTTCAATGTTGAAGACAAAAAAACGTAATCATTTTTTGATAAAGCTGGCAGGAAGTGTTTAGGGTTTCTTAAATGAAAGGAAAAGACGAAACGTTTGTATTAAGGATCTTTCAAAACACTTGAAGTATCTGTAGCTTGCCAACTTCGATGAATGTTTTAATATTTTCCTTTAAAAACTTGGTGGATGTGTTTAGCAAGTGAGGAAACATGAAGTGGAATTGATTTTTTTCATTCGCAAAACTCAACTGCTAACTGATTAGATATTAACTTGCTTCGTGGTCAGAAAAAAAAACAGGCCGAGAGCTAACGTGATGTAGCATAGTTCCCCGAAACGAAGGATGGCCCATTTACTCTTGGCGTAATTTGTTTTCAACGAGGAAAAAAGAACCCTACGCTAAAGAACTAGCCACGAGTTACCTGAATCTCTAGGCTACTATATCTTTCAGGTGCATCATGATGACAAGTGATCCTACTAATGCTTGATTTGTGAATGAAGGGCATAATTCAGTTATCTCTACTATCGTCGACCCATGTCAACTTGTTAGAGACAACCGGAAAGAAAGTTTCGCGTACACCAATGAACAACATATGCGGACGCCTACACCTATATTAAAACCCTTCGGGTGCTCCTAGGCCTCGTCAAACTAGAAAGGGGTCGATAGCGTTTGCCGAAGGTCATTTTCATACGACAATGAAAAACAGATCGGGAAACTACACAGCAGGTAATAGCAATTTATCGAATGGAATTAAGGAAAGATAGTTTTTTTTCTCACATGCATCGTTATTCAAGCTTACATTCGTAGTATGGAAAATCAAGTTTAGTGATAATGTAGTATTTTTGAGTTTTTCAATTACGCACACACTTTCGTCACTCAAGAAGAGTTCATTTATACAGCGAACATAGTCACTTGAAATTTGTTTTCATTTGAAGGGAATGATATATCAACTTGCGAGATCATATGTTCTCGACTCCCAACTAAAATACCTGTTAATATTAATTAACAGCAACAATAATTTTTCATCCAGCTGGAACGGATGAGCCATGTAGTCTCGACACTGACAACCTTCGAAAAACGTAAAAAAGCGCGCCGCTTATCGACTTATCGAAAGTAGCCAATCCGAGGCGTGAGCTCGGCCGCTTATGATTCCTAAGCGACTTCGTTTGGTGGCTATGAGAATGTTAACGACAATATTTACGAAAAAAACGCCTAACAGCGGTGGGTTTTTTCTCTTTTTATCCGTGAAAATAATGGTCTTGAGCACTAAGTTACCGAAAAACAACTGCATTACTATTATTTTTATTATTTATAAATTTTTGAATAGATCAGGCTTATCACCTTTTAAAGAGAACCGTTTACACCTGCTCCTGCCAATGAAAGTGACATAAGAAAACAACAACAGCAAGCAACATTGTATAAAAAATCCTGATGGCACTTTTCGGAATTACTTGTGCCCGAACCCAGGACATCCAGACGTCCAACAGGCTGCATTTGGATTCCAACGCGAAGCTGTGAGTAAGTGATACATTGACTGTGTCAGTACAAAAATATATAAAACCTGATATATATGCACATTATTAAAAACGATTTCATAACTATCTGATACTTGGAGTCTTCAGCGGACGTTACGTTATTGCAACAGCATTATACCCCTCACAGCGGCTAAATGAATAATCAGACGATACACTATTTAGAATCTGAATCTGTGTGTGTGTGTGTGTTTTTTTTTAACTTGATAGTAAATACTTAGCATAACCGCATGTGAAATGCGTTCAGGTGCCATAAAAATTATCCACAAAGACACGACACCAAGAAAAATTCTATGACCATTTGCTTAGGACTAAGATTTTGGCATTTGTTTCCAGAGACCGTCTCTCTTAAAATTATAAGGTTTTCCTTGACTACCGCTGATGCTGGCTTGCTACATTTACTAATATAATAATTCAAAGTGTCAGATCTAATTGCATAAACCTCCCAATCGACTTTAACTTCCTCCTTCCTATATTTAATAAGTGACTGTGTACTTGAAGAGCTTCAATTGAATCGAACCCCAGGAAGTATTGAAATCGTCTAAATAAAACAGCCTTTTCTAATTCAATGGATTTAATACGTGACCGCTTCCTATAGTGGTTTTTTTTTCGGGTCTCAATGAAGCTTTTCGCAGTAGAAGCATCAGCATCCCACTGACTGCAAATACGTCGTCGCGTCCCCGACGTTTCTGCTTTTATCTATTGTGCCAACACTTGCCGCGTCCTGCTGCATTAATTTCATTGTTCTAGCCTTTATAGAAGACACTCAGCCACATCGATCGCCTACGTAAACGTCGTATAGCGTGACAACGTCAAAACTGACTACGAATCTTGATTGAACAGCGAGCCCAGCTAACGCCAAGATACT